GTAATATCAGATGGTAGGCGGGCACATGGCAACTCGTCGAGACAATTCGGCTGACGAGGACCCGTAGGGCCGAGAGGGAAGCTCTGGGGGGTATACAGTACATGCTGGAGCTCCGAAATTCGCCGAGGCAGAAAGGATTCCCGGGGCGCTGTCATGTCAATGGAAAGTAAATGAATTGCTTACCTCATTTAGTGAATCAGAAATGGTAACAGTAATAGGAGTGGCTGTTGTAATAAGTACTGTAGTGTTCCGAGCAAGGTCTGGTTTGGCGGAAGGTACTGGGTGGGTTGAAAGGGTAGGGGGAGATGCTTTTTAAATCCCCATTGACCGAGAACAATGAGCAAATGAAAGAAGGATTAGGAGGGCGACAGAATGCAGGGCGAACAAGCCACTCGACGCCAGCAGTGTACAGTACAGTCAACTGTATACAAGGAAGCACAACCACTCGTTGAAGAAGGAGTAGTGTAGTAGTAGTAGTTAAGTTAGTAGTTAAGTTAGTAGTAGTAAGTTAGTTGCAGGGGTGAATCTGTTGGGGATGGGAAGTCGCCCGAGTGTTTTGAAAACGACAGATGGAATTCCAATGCGAATGATTAGTGGACTCTACACGGACAGTGGATAATCCCCATGCTCGATCCTTTGTACTATTTATTTCTCCTGGACCTCGAATCGAGAATCCCAACTAGGTTCAGGGCTGGGGACGCCTCACCCAGCGACTCGGTCCAAAGGGTGGGTTGAAGGCTGCATGCTTGCCACGACGACGGGACGGCAAGACAGGACAGGGCGGGAGAACTTCCGGGGAAGAGCTGGGCTTCTTCCGGGGGAGGAGACGAGTAACTTGAGCAACTTGAGCAAGAGAGAGATAAATCGGAGTGAACAATTAAAGAACAAAAACCGGGTCGTCAAGGGATGGAGAAAAACCCGATGGGGTAAGGATTCAGCCAGGGCGGATGGAGAAACGTACGTGTGCATTTTGTGGGGAAAGCGAAACAAGGGGACGGACAGGACATAACTATATCGTAGTCGCTACTAGTTACCTCAGGGTATGGTGGATGCCAGATGGATGAAAGGAACCCTGGAATTGAAGCATAGTCGACAATGTTGACCTGGAGGAAGAAGATACTCTGAGTATGTTGACTTACGAGTCCACTCACGGAGTATGTGTACAGTATGTACATGATGCATACGACCCCATCCTTCTAGAAAGATACCCAGCAACAAAGAGAACTCCACCGGGAATCTGTGAAGTCAACAGTAGTCATTCAATGAGTGGCAACACCCCCCGGTTTCATCTTACTGGGTATGAGTATCTGATTTCTATTTCTATTTTCTCCTCTCACGCCACCAAAGCTGATCCTCCCTCCCTCCCTCTCCTCTTTCCCCCGTATGGTAGGTAGGACTGAGTATACTGTGCACTCGGTATACATGCCCCAGAAAATGACTGCAACTGCATTGTCCCTTTTCAGTAGTCAGGATAGCCTAGGACTACTGTATCCCCATGATCCATTCCGGAATCCCTTAAATGCCACCATGTACTGTAGTGCACTGCACCCTGTAGAATCAAACATAGAGACAGACAGCTCTCCAAACCAAGCAGGATGAACCAGGTCTACCTGCCTTTCCCTCCCCGAGTCCCCCCATCCCCCCATCCCCCCCATTCCATCCCTCCCCCATCATTCTAGAGAAAGCTGTACACAAAAAACAAGCGAAGCAGATCATATCCCATGCAGTCATGATCGACAGCTTCAGCAGCAGCAGCACCACCACCACCACCACCACATGCTCTAGTCAAACCCTCTTTTTTTGGCCTTCATCGTCCTGCCTCCGATAGCAAGCCCCCAACAAGAAGAACAAAAAAAAAAAAAAAAAAAAA